TAGGATTACAGACATGTGCCAATTATACCAGGAGTTTTATGTGGGTGATGGATACAGGGCAAATGAATAGAAAAAGATATCCCAAGCAAATGGACTTAGACACAAGCCAGTGTAGCTATTTTAATATCTGACAAAAGTAATCAGAAAAGATAGGGAAGGAGACTGCATATTCATCAAGACAAAAATCCACCAAGAGGATATTGTAATTGTTAACATCTATGCACCAAATACAAGGGCACCCAAGTTCATAAAAGAAAAAATGCTACAGCTTAAAAATTGTATTGACCATCATACAGTAGTAGTGGTTGACTTCAATACCTCACCCTTGCTAACAGACAGGTCATTCAGACAAAAACTAAACAAAGAAATGCAGAGCTAACTGACATCATAAAATAGATGGAACATTTCATATAAACAAAAAAGAATATACCTTTTTCTCAGCACCTCATGGAGCTTTCTCTCCAACTGACCACATACTCAGACACAAAGCAAATCTCAACAGATACAAGAAAATTGATATAACATTCTGCATCCTATCAGACCACCACAGATTAAAGCTGAAAATCAACAACAAGAAAAACAGAAGCAAGTTTACAGGCTCATGGAAACAGAACAACTCTCTACTGAATGAAAAGGGGTCAAAACAGATACTAAGAAAGTAAACACTTTCTAGAATTGAATGAAAATGAAAACACAACATACTCAAACTTATGGGAGACAATGAAGGCAAGTTCATATCACTAATTGCCTACATTAAAAAATGGAGACATCTCATATTAATAATTTAATGACACATTGGAAAGCTTTAGACAAGAAAGAGGAAATCACATGCAAATAGAGTATACATCAAGAAATAATCAAACTCAGGGTTGAAATCAATAGAATAAAAACAACAACAAAAACAGTACAAAGAATCAATGAAGCAAGAGTTGGTTCTTCGAGAAAATTAATACGATTGACAAGCACTTAACCAAATTAACTAAAATTCAAATTAATAAAATTGGAGATGACAAGGAGATGTAACAATACATCAAAGAAATCCAAAGAATCACGAGAGCATACTTTAAAAACCTGTACCCAACCAAACTGGAAAATATATAAGAAATAGATAATTTTTTTCAATATATACCACCTATTAAAGTTAAGAAAAGATAAGCAATTTAAACAGATCCATAACCTCTAGTGTAATATAAACAATAATTAAAAGTCTACCATCAAAAATATACCAGGGCCAGATGATATTACCACAGAATTCTACAAGACTTTCGAATAACTTCGTTTCTCCTCAAATTATTCCACAACACATAAATGATCAAGTAGTCTTCATTTCAGACATGCAGGAATGATTCAACATATGTTAATTGATAAATGTAATCCATCATGTAAGCAGACTGAAAGACAAAACCACATGCCTATTTCATTAGATGTAGAAAAGGCCAATGACAATCCAACACCACTTCATGATAAAAAGTCCTGGAGAGACTAGGGGAAAAGGTGCACACTTAAACACAGTAAAGGCCTATATTCAAGATCAGCTTAAATGGAGAGAAAGTCAAAGCAATTACACTAAAATGAGTAATAAGACAAGGTTTCCCACTCTCTCTATACCAAGTCAATGTAGTACTTGAAGTTTTAACTTAGAACAATATGATACCTGAAGGAAATACCTGAAAGGAAGAAGTCAAACTGTCTTTATTTCTAGATGGTATGATAGTATATATTAGTGACCCCCAAAATTCCACCAAGGAAATCCTACAGCAAACGATCACTTTCAGCAAATTAGCTAGACACAAAATTAACTCACAGAAATAAGTAGCCTTTCTATACATGAATGAAAAATGGATCAAGAAAGAAATTAAGGAAACTATTTTTCGCAATCACCTCAAATAGTATAAAATATCTTGGGATAATTCTAAGTAAGCAAGTGAAAGATTTGTATGACATTGGAGTGTCCCACCAGCCAGCTCCCAAATAATAACATGGAGACTTATTATGCTCAGCTGATAGCTTAGGCTTGTTTCTAGTTCTTACAACTTAAGTTAACCCATTTCTGTTCATTTACCTTCTGCCTTGTGGCTTCATTACTTCTCCATCCTGCTTGCTCTGAGTCTCCTAGTATCTCTGCCCTTCTTTTTTCCAGAACCCTTTGTGTCTAGAAATCCTGCTTGGCTATTGACTGTTCTTTACTGAACAATCAGAATGACACATCTTCACAGTGCACAGAAAGATTACTCAAACAGCCCTATGCCCAGCAGAAGACAGCTAACACAAAAACCCAATAGCTTCTTTTGAAGGCTCTCTGTCTCATAATGTGTCAGATTTTTGTTTATTGTTGTTGTTGTTGTTTGTTTGTTTTTAATTTTTCAAGTCCTTTTTGTATATATTATGGCTTCTGGTTTTGTGTTTTTACAGGATTCCTGTGCAAAGTAAGTGTGTGTGTGTGTGTGTGTGTGTGTGTGTGTTATCTATTTTGCTTCTTGTTTGCTTTTCTCTATCCCAATTTTCTTGTTTTTGTTTTAATCTTATTGTATCCAATTTTATTTTATTATTTTTCATTAGATGCCTGTCCTCCACCCCCAAGAAGAAACACAAAGGTTGTTGATCTGGATGACAGGGGAGTTGGGGAGGAACTGGGAAGGGAAAGGGAAGTGGAAACTGTAATAAGAATATTTTGTATGAATATTTTGTATTTGTAATAAAAGAAAAAAGAAAAGCATAAACATAGGTGGGGTAAATTTGTGTCTACTATGTCAGATTGTGTGACCACAAGGCTATGACTTGCTTTCCTACCCTGATTTCATTTCCATGGACACTCCTATTCTTTGTGAGGGGGATTTTGTATGTGTGTGTGTGTGTGTGTGTGTGTGTGTGTTGTTGTTGTTGTTGTTGTTGTGCATATTCACTAACATGTGGTATATATGCCCATGCATGCACCTTCAGGGGTACAGGACATTAGGCACCTCCCTCTATTACTGTCTGCCTTGTTGCCTTGATATATGGTCTCACACTGAACTGAAAGCTCCTTGTTTAGGCCAGCTAGCTGGCAGGCCATTGAGTTCTCTACTTCCTAATGCTGGAGTTGCAGACATACAAATGAAGCCATGCTTGATCTTTATATGGGTGATGGGGATTCAAACGCAAGGCCTCATAATTTTCAGATCAGACACTCTTACTAACCAAGCCCTACTCTCAGTCCAACAAACTTCTATACATTCATTCGTGTGTGTGTGTGTGTGTGTGTGTGTGTGTGTGTGCATGCATGTGTGTGTACATGTCTGGCTTTACATGATCTCTAGCCTACTGAAATCATGTCCTCAATTCAAATAATTCACCTATTGAGCCATCTCTCCAGCTTCTCATCCTTTTTCCTTTTAAAAACTACTATCAGGTGTGTAATATTGGGACAGATCTTTCCACATTCATTATATTCACTGTTATTTTCCCATATGAATTCTCTGATATATGTTGACTTGGGACTTCCTGCAAAGAGTTTTCCACACGCAATATTTGCATGTTTTTTTTCCAGTGAATTCTTTCAAGTATAGCAAAGGATTATTTCTGGTGGAAACTTCTCCATACACTTTATATTCGTATTAAAATTAAAATAGTAGCCTGGGCCTTGAATCCTGGCTACTGATGGGGAGTCTGAGACAGAAGGATCAACAGTTCAAGTCCTACCTGGGGCAAATTAATGGAATCTGTATCACAAAAGACATAATGGTTCTTCAATCCCACTGCTGCAAAAAATAAAATAAATTATGGTGGGGAAATGTATTTCTAGTATTTTACTGATTTTTTTCACTTTTATTTTGCATGTTTGGGTATTTTGCTTGTATGAAAGTTGGTGCAAAATGTGGGTGTCTGATGGCCACGAATGTCAGAAGAGAGCATTGGATTCACCTGGGCTAAGAGTTACAGGTGACTGTGAGCCACCACATGGGTTCTGGGAATTGAACCTGAGTCACCTGGAAGGGAAGATATTGCGGTAAATAAGGATCAGGATAAACAAATAGGCCGAATAGATGTTTATTCAGGGAGAAATAACTTACAACCTAGACAGATGAACACCAGGAAATTCAACCCGATCCTCTCCTGTCCGAGTCACGCCAGAGAGAGCGCCTTCCTGGCCCCCTCCGACCTCCTTCCTCAGGTCACCTCTGCCCATCGCTCCACCCCCCAATGGGCATGGTCAGTGCTACAGAAGGACTACCTCACTACAGGAAGACTATGCTCTTAACTGCCTGGTCATTTCTCCAGCCCTAGTATTTTATTTTTAAGTATCATGGCAAGGTTTCCTTTTATTCCTAGCTTACTGAATGTGGTGGTTAATTTTGATTGTTAACTTGATGGGACTTAGATGCATCCAGAGATGGTTACCTGAAGAGAGAAGTTGCACCCTGAATGTGAACAGCATTATCACATAGGTTGGGGTCCTGGGCAGAATAGAAAGCAGAAAGGGAACTGAGCCCCAGCATTGACCTCTCTTTGCTTCCTGACCACACATGACATATGAGCAGCTGCTTTAAATTCCCATGGCCATGCCTTCCCCATCATTGTGTACTGTGCACTCAAACCATGAGCCAAAATAAACCTGCCCTTCTGTAAGTTGGAATAGTCAGGATTTTGTCTGGTTAATGAGGAGAGTAACTAGAATACTGACCATTTCATCATGAATAGATCTGAAGTTTAGCAAATTTCTTTCCCTGAATTTTATCAAATACTTTCCCAGGATTAAGAGAAAGGGTCACAGAAGGCTCCTTTCTGAATTTAAGGCACCATGTTTTGTTTGCCATCTTTTTAATATCCCAGTAGACTTAATCAGACGACAGGTTGCTTAGGATCTTTTATGTTCCAATAAGAAATTAATAATCATGCCGAGGATAGGTCATCAGTAGTAGTAGGGGTAATAATTCATCATCACTGTAGAAAGAGGTTAATGGTTATGAAAGAGACACACTCAAAAGTTGAAAATAGTTTCCATTGTTCAGATGTGTGAGCTCCCCACTCCCAACCCAAGAACGTCTGCTGTCTGTAGCAGCTATTTAACCAGTGGTGTGCACAGCAGAGGAGGCCTTGCCACCTTTGAGGGGGGGGGCTATGATATGCTCCTGCCAGAGTGAATTAGGAACTTTCACAGCCCTAAGAGCACTCCAGATACCTGGGGTCCCCTGGTCTTTGGGGGAATCAACTCCCTGTATCTACTTATGCTCTTGTTTCCTGAACTTCATTATTGGTACAATTCTAAGGAAAACACAATGGTAAATCCAAGGCCAAGATTACTTCAAGTGGGTGGTGCATATGTGTGTCTCTTCATTCACAAGGATATGTGTGTCTCCTCATTCACAAGCTTTTATTCAGGTATGAGATGAGGTCATTCAGATACTGATGGTGATTCTTGTAGATAATCTGAAAACAAAACTCAAATGTCCTGTGATTCCCCCCCCAATCCATATTGAAAGCCACAAGTCAACATTTTGTTTTTTCTTCAGATGGTCTCCACCTTATATTTGAGACAGGGACTCTCACCAAATCTAGAATTCATTGATTTGGCTAGGTTGGCCAGCCAACAGTTTCAAGCAATACAAGTTTCTGCCTCTCCCTGGTGGGATCAAACCTAATGTTTTACTGTGGGTACTGGGAATCAGAACTCAAGCCCTCAGGCTTTGTAGCAATGGCTTCACTGACTGAGCCATCTTCCCCACCCATGACCCTATTTTAAGACGATTTGTATTACTGTCTAACATACACACACCTAAAATGAGACTGTGTTAATTTCTGCTTAATACCACTACACATACATTGCTTTGTGTTATCTTTCTGCTAGTTTATGTGCTTCTTTTTTCCAAAGATTTCAGTAATTCGTGTAATAAAACTGGAAGTTTGAAAAATCAAAATGACAAATTAAATGTGAATAATGAGTCCAAGGTTTTTGTATGTTCTAAGGATGTAAAGATATTCAAGCCACAGGAAGGGAAAGTTTAGAGACTGAGTCTTATTGGTCTTGTTTACCTCCGTAGACTTGACCTGGCTTAGTAGAATAGGGACCCTATAAATATTTGTTCAATAAATGAAGGGAGACTTGCCAGAAATTAATGATGCATCTTTTATGAGTAGCATGGCTGAATCATACAGACTAGATTTTCCTGTGTGAGGAGGAGGGGAAGTTCCCTTGGGTTTGCTGGAGGCGAGAATGGTACATTCAGTGGGACCTACTTTGTGATTTCCTATCTCAACAGATCTGGCTCTTCTAAAAAGGAGTAGAGGTGGAAGGCATGATGCCTAGAAGTCAAGGAAGGAAGGAGAAGAGGAATAAATAACAGAAAAGGAGAAGGTGTGCTGAACCAGCCTGCACCAGCAGAGAAAAGAGGGGGCAGAAAAGTGAATTTTCTGCTTTTCTCTGTGCAAGGACTACACGAAAGAAAAAAAGAAGGCTGGGACACTGACATGAGAAACTGTCGTGCTTGTAGAGCAAGAGAGGATCAATGGCTACCAGAAAGGTCTAGAACAAAGGGTCTTCCTTTAGTGACTGGCAGCTTGTCCTAGTCTTTTGCACTGAAACCCCTCCATAAAAAGGGGGAAAATGAGGATTTTGAGAGATTTTCATGGAAATTTAGTTATCTATATTCTTTCTAATTTAACTATATACATCATCACTGCATTTTCAGTAGGAATATAAAGAAGAGTAAGCAGAAACTTCATTAAATTGATTGTATATTTACAGAACTATTTAAGTGACTTCAAAATGCTAGTTTTTGGATTCCATTCATTTCCCAACAGATCTTTTCAATGCCTACTTAAATCACTAATTATTGTCTGAAGATAGAGGAAAGGGAGGGAACAGAAGAGAGAAAATTAATGTCCTTTAGCTTATGTCCATCATCCATGAGGAAATCAAGTATCTAGATAGTGTAAAGAACGTCTCCAAAAATTAGTTATGGTGAGCACTATTTTACTTCATTGAAAAGTAGCTAAAACTTGTATGGTTTTCAATAAATGAAAACAATAAGTAAAACATCCAGGTGTCCTAAGATAAAGGCAATTATTCATGCTTTTGGATAGATATGCTAACAAGGTCAGCTAAGCAGGCTATTCCACAGTATAAAATGCATCAAATCATCAATTTGTCATCTAGCTTAAACATATACAATTTTTAATTGTCATACCTCTGTGAAGTTGGGGATAAGGAGTATTTTTTGAAAGTTGTGTATGAGAAAGGAGTCCTAGAAGGCCTCAAAGGAGAGTCTCATGAAGTAATTAAAAAGAAATTAAACAAAAAGTACAGTCGTTGGGAATTGGTGTCCTGTTAATTCTTCAATTTTTCAATCAACAGTAATCATGCAACAATCTCCAGTGCTCATGTGGGGAAAACTCTTGGTCCTAAATGTAATGAGAGTTTCCATAGCACATATCCTTTGTCCTGAGTGCTTTATTCATGTGAGCCAGTTCTCTGGTAGTCAGAGCCAACCCTGTCCCATTCTTGCTAAAAGGAAGCAGAGAACCATAATGCTTGTAGTTGTATTGTGAAGAGCTCTGCTCTGGTGTTCAATGTCATATCCCCTTCATCTAAATGTATCAAATCTACAATCAGTGTGCCTTAGCAGCTCTAGACTCTTCCCTCAAGTGCACAGGCACACTCCACAGGCACCTCTTCTTTGGCAAACATAGCCTGTCATTTTCCAGATGAATAACAGGCACAAATCACATTGCAATAAATGATTTCATGACTCTAGTCCCTATTTAATCTAATCAGGGTAGATATGGTTGATTACATGGACAAAAAGCTACTGGATAAACATGCTTATTCAGGAGTAACTAACCATTAGACAGTATTATGTAATGTTGAAATAACTGCTTGGCTTAATGTTACAGTTTCCATGGAAACTGCATCAGTGAAGAGTAAAGAGTTTAAAAAATACTGCTTTTTTCTTCTATCCTATGCATTGCTAGATTGTCTATGTCCACATGATGTTTATAGTAGTTTAAAAGGAAGGATTGCTCTCACTAAAGAGTTACCTCATTATTAATGGATAAAAATATTGGGACTATCTTCAGAAAGAAAATACTGGCTGCTGTTGCTTTCAGAGTTATTTGGGGGAAGAAATGATGCTTAGATTGAAGGTGGCCACAAGCATTTCATGCATGTTTGCTTATTCAAAGCTTAGGCGCCCTCCTATGCAAGGTTTCTGACATGGATGCTGTTTTCTTCCTTTCCAAAAACAAAGACAGTGGTTATGCTAAAAGAAAAAGTCAGAGTCTCAGGCAAACGCTGAGCTCTGCAGATGATGGCTCCTGTGGAAAGAAGAGATTAATTATAAGAGGTGGGTAGCAGACTGGGGTTTGTGTTTTGCAGGGCTCCACAGTGCTTGCTGGCCCCTGATAGCTCTAGCTGCTGTAATTGCAGGAAGGAACAAACCGAGGGCACAGCGACCATCAGAGTCCAGCTCTGCATTGTTGTTTAGGCATTTGCTTCATTTTAATCCCCTGCAATAGACAAAGAATAAAGTTAAATCACTGGCTCTTCGGAGTCACAAGTTACACCTTATGGAGCCTTACAGAAATCTGATTATTTCTTAGTCTCTGCAAGGTGAATTCCCTTCTCCACAAATGGCCATAAGAAGTCCAGAGCTGGATACCAGGAATGTATTGTTTTCCCCCTTTTTCCCCACACTTTTTACTCCTAGTAAATTGTGTGTTATTCCCCCCCCCAAAAAAAACTGGCTTTTTAATTAGAAGTTCCATGGAGGTCCTTTCCCATCTGAAGTTGTTTGTTTATTATGAATCAATCACTACTTCTTCATTCATTGGCAGTGATTCTTTGATACCTACTTCTAAGATGGCTAATATAGAAAGCATTTCATTCTAGGCTTAGGATAACCTTACTGTATTCATTAAAGGAAAGTAATTTTGAAGCACATCCCGAGCCTATCCTTTCTAGTTGCCCAGTACATATTTTTATTCTCAAACATGCCGTTTCCTCCGTTTTACTCTAGACAGGCTCCAGGAAGGTTTCCCCAGTGAATGAACGGGGCCACACATTTTTTGAGGCTCTGGTGAAATTTCATGGGAAGAGAAGCTACAGTGGACTCCATCCTAGAGCTTAGACACACCACAGAGTATGGGCTTAGAGTTGTCCTCTGAGATCAGATGGATTTGATAATGCACAAAGAAAAGCAAACAGAAGATTTGTTTCACTCTATTGGAAGTGTTGGCTCATTAGATCTGGAGAAGGCTCCCTGGTCTAGGTACATACACAAATGTACACTTGCACAAATGTATGCACGTGCACACACATGCGTGTGCACACACACACACTGTACACACATAGAATAACTTTTTTCATAGTAGAAGCAATGACACAATTGTCCCAATAATTTGCAAAATGTTCTACAGCATTTGGCTCTGTGTGCTTAGCAACACATTGCTAAATATCAGCTTTTAATGGCCCAGGAATGTCTTTACTCTATGGAGAGCATCTAGAGAAAGTTCTGTAATAACCTTGAAAAAGACTTGCCAATGAGGTGTCCTGGTCGAAATGCCTTTGACCTCCTGGTTCCTTGGTCCCTGAAACCACCAGTTTGGCCAGTAAGAAAAAGGCTCTAATGATACCTTAGTTGTGGATATAGTTTCATGGCCTATCTATATACCACATTTCTTCTTAAAATGGCCTAACTGATAGGCATTAAGGCATTATATTCATTTACTGCTGTGAAAACTTATGCAGCTATCTCACACCTATTGAATTAGCCTTTGAAGGAATGTATTGGTCTGGTGTTAATTTACTGTGAAATGTGGCTATTTGAATCTCCCAGTCTCCTCTCTGATGTGTTCTCTGGTGCTCAGCTAGGATGAAATAATTTTGTCTGTGTGGCCAGTTTTTTCTAGCATTCATAGGAGGGAAAGGATGTTCAATTGTTGGTTTGAACAAAGTGATCACTTGACAAGATGACTTCCTGTGAGAACTTAGCCAGAACAATCAGACATATATGGGATCCAAGACATATCTACTAATTAAGATACCAGAGTTTCAATTATAATCAAGTTCTGGGAATTCTATGACTGTTTCTGCTTGCGTAGTCTCTATGAAACAACATTGCTCTCTTGTCTATCTTGAGTACTAGAGAATAATGACGTTTATGTAC